TTTTTTTTTTTTTTTTTTTTTTGTAAATATATAATTATATATACATAAATACCATACTTTATAACTTGTACTTTGTTTTTTAATGTAAGAATCTAATACAATATTCATGTATTATACAGATGCTTGTTAAAAAATTATTCTTAAATTTTAAAATTAATGAGAAAAGTTATTTTCCTTGGACCGACCCAAGAGGACAAAGGAGTTAGCAGTTCAAAGTCAAGGCCCAAGCCAAGGGAGTATCCGACGGCTTCCTAATAATCAGCATCTGTCTTTGTACCATTTTTCTATAACTGAACTTCGCTTCGCTTGGGTACCTTACACTATACTAGGAGTATTGAAGAAGAAAGTCACGACATGCGTTCATAAAACCTCAATTACATTGACCATATTTAAAAGCGAAGAGCAGTGAAGGAAATGATCGACAAAATTGACCTTGACTATAAATCCGAGGAATCCATCATCTTCAATTATCTGCAGAGACAGATGTCGGGTCGTTGTTCCTACTTAATCACAAGCATTCGTATCGATGCCCTAGCTTCGTATTTATTTTTTTATAAAAAATAATACTATTATATATTTTAGAAGGATACTTGTTACTTGTGTGACTTACATCCCCCCTATATATAATTTTCGAATGCGCTGAGTCTACGTGGCTGCTTTTGGTGCTTTGAAATTCTACTTGGTGAAGAATCATGCTTCGTAATAAGGTTTGGACAAATAATATTGATATATTAATAATTAATAATTTAGGTTCGGACGTGTCATAAATATTACTTAGCTAACTTAGGTATTTTAATATCACTTGTACTAATATAACTCTTTAATTCTTTGTAATTTTACATAGTGAGACACTAAGTGACTAATATACATGACTTTTGATTTGTTTCCTTCCATTAGCTGTTGAATTGTAAGTGATAACTTTTGTATTTCTTATTGGTATTGCATATATAATATATCAAATTAATCATCTTTTGATCATCTTCGATTTGACATCCATATTGTATATATGAAATAAATAAATTATATTTATCTTTATAATAATAAAAAATAATAATATTTATTAAAATTTATTATAAAAATTAAATTATTTCTCAATTCATATATTTATGTTTATGTAGTTATATGTTGTAAGTTAAAAAATTATTATAATGTAACACAGGTAAGTCGCACAAATAAAAAGTGTCATACTAAATATATATAATATATATTTTTATAAAAGGTATTTAAATTTTCAACTACTTTTTCTCATTAATTTTAGATTTTAAGGAAAAAAATAGCAAGCACCCGTGTAATACACGGGCGTTGTACTAGTGTTTTATATTATAGAAATACTTATAACTTATATCAACTAACTACTTGAAATATAAATATATTAATTGATAAATAATTTTGTTTTTTTTTAATTAACATTAAAAAGTAATTTTATTATTGTTATAAAGATAAATATAATTTATTATTTTATACCTACAATATGGAATGATATTATAATGCAATTAATACATGTAACATGGCCATAAATAATGAACATATTTATGGATAATCTGAACCTAATTACTTATTTATTTGAAGTAAATTAAAATCTACCAAAGCTTAATAATGAAAAGTGTAGTTTTGTCACGTAGGATGCCGAAGCATGCGAATCTGTCACTTAAGTTAAGCACATTATGAATTAACATATAGAGGGATTATATTATAAAAATATATATGTCATTAAAAAGTACCTTAAAACATCACGAAAAATAACTATTTATGAATATATATGACATGACTTTGGCATCCATCCTTGAATGAATATGAAATAGGAAATGACAGAAATCCATTTGTAAAGCTGCTTATTAATACATACCAAATTCAGGATTTATAAGGACTTTTAAGACTTTAGAAATGCTGAATTATTTAATTTAGATTTATTAAGATTTTTTAAGACTTTTTAAAATCCTTGGGTATTCAATTGAAATTTTTAAAAGTGTTACAAAATCCTGAGGCATTTCAATTTTTTTGACAATAAGATTTGTTAAGACTTTTTAAGATTTGGCGGAATTTCTAAACAAAAAACATTATACGAAATACCACTTCATATCCTATTCAATTGGGATTTTAAGTAACATTTTAAGACTTTTTAAGATTTGGTACTTTTTTGAATTTCAAATCTTGGAAGAAGTCTATGAAACCTTACAATCTGGAGGTAGGATTTGAAGTGAGATTTCGTATATAATTTTTTTTTTCAAAATATTACCAAATCTTAGAAAGTTTTAATAAAATCCTAATGTCAAATAAAGTAAATATATCAGGATTTTGTAAGACTTTTTTAAATCTCAATTGAATACCCCATAATTTTTAAAATTCTTAAGAAATCTTAACAAATCTAAATTGAATACACCAAGATTTCTAAAGTTTTAAAAAATCTTTAGAATCCTAACTGAATACACCCCTTTTAGGAATTTCATAGAATTCCGCCAAAATCTAAAAATCTTAAAAAGTATTAAATCATACAAAGTATTAAAATGTCACTTATAATCCAAATTTAATACACCCCTATGAAATTGATATAAAAGCTTCCAAAAAAAAAAAAAAAAAAAGAGAGAGAGAAACCTTATAGCTAGAGGGGTAAGTAGCAAACCAATATGCAACCAACCATGAACTAAAAAAAAATACTGGTCCTACCCGGCTCGATTCAGGATTAGTCGGTTCTCCTGTAAATCCGGAAACCGAAAGGTCCATGTACCAAAAAAAAAAATACTATTTTTTTCTTAATGCAAAAAGAAAGTATCCAAATTACACACTAATCATACTTCTCAGCCAACTCCAGCAAGCAACGGCACAGCTCCTGAGGTTTTGTAAGCATCACCATATGACCAGCCCCATCTATGGTCATGACGTCATCTGGTGGGCTCTTCTCTATGTTGTACGCTTGAAATTCCTCGTCCACGACGTCATCACCTCCGCATATTACATAGCAACGTTTGATTTTTCCATATCTCTCTTCGGACAGCAAATCTGGCTTGCTCAAGTCCTTCACGTAAAACAAATTAGGCCTTACCAGCAATTTTCCTAATTCCAAATCCTGAAAAATAAATAAATAAATTAATTAAATGGACCTATTTAATTTCGAAATATATGTGTATCATCAAATTCTCCTGTAAAACATCATTAACCAGAATTAATTAACCTCTGATTCGCAGTGTTTGTAAACCGTGGCCGCCATGTAATCGTGGCCGAGCCTACCCCGAGTCGGCACGTCCCTAGATCCCGAGTCGAACGTGAACTCGCAATCCATAAACGACTTGTTCGAGTTCCTCTTGAAGAACTTTTCGCATGTTTAAACAGCTCGATCAAAATACATACATAATAAGTAAACAACAAACAAAATATTGGAAAAAAAAAAAAAAAAGAAAGTTAGTTTCGAACCTCCTGAACGAGAGTTGCAATCGGGTCGGTACAGTTAGGCATGTAAGACGTGACGAAAACGGCCGACGATATTTTTTCAGGGAAATTTTCGGCGGCGAGCGAAATCGGGATGCCTCCATAGCTATGGCCCACGAGGACGGCCCTCTCGTCGTCCGGAAGGGCGGACAGGAAATCGACGAGGGGGCGGGCGTAGTCGGAGAAGGAGGAGACGTGGTGGTGCTGGCTCGGGTGGACCCCACAGGCCGCGAGGTCGAGGGCCGTGACCCTGTGGCGCCCGTCCTTCTTCAGAAGGCTCACGAGTTTGTACCAGCACCAGGCTCCATGCCCGAACCCGTGTACCAGCACAAAGTGCTTCTTAGTTTGATAACTATTTTGAGACATTTTTTTTTTTTTTTGGCTTTTTTTGGTCTGTATGATGTTTGTTTAATTATTGTTATTATTATTCTATATTTTTTATTTTTTATGTTTGCGAGTTTTCTTCCATGTTCTACTTATACTAGCAAGTAATTGACTTGATAGAGAGCCTAATGATGGTACTCGCCGGCCTAATTATAAGATAGATTTACAGTAGTAAATCTTACTCTAAGGTTACTTTGACCGACTTCAACTAACCTGCTGTATACAAATATATCCGCTTAAAACGAATAATTGTGGTTAATCAGTATTAATTTTGAAAAAATTGACATGGTTAATTGTTAATGGTATTTTGAGTTTTATAACAAAATAATATTTAAAATAAATATAAAAAATTGATTTGATGTAAAAGTATATGAGAGAGATGATGTGGAGTGATGGTTAGTTAAAATTATGTGAGTGGATAAATAGTAAACGAAATTTGATGTCATGTAAGAATGATTGATTGGTGTTATTTAATTATGTTGATAATATTGAGTATAGTGGAGTTGAGTTAGATTTAGAGTATAAATTGATCAATATGAGTTGAAATAATTTATAAACAAAAAAACCCTAAGGTTTTCAAACCAAATATTGAATTAAGCGATAAACCTTGATAGAAATTGGCGACATAACGAAGCATTGTTTCGATCTTTGCGAATCTCGTTGAACTCGACTTGGTTGAGTACTAGAGGGGATTTCTTTTGTTATCTTGCTCGGAATTCTTCTCTTCAACTTGAGCAGTGTTGCTTTGGAGTTCTAACATCTTGGTGCCGTGATTACGGTCTTGTCTGGTTTGGGTCGTTGTCTTCAGATATTTGTAGTGAAGTAACGATTGCAGAGCCTAGTTAATCGGGGGGGTGGGTAGGGCTTTATTATACTATAGTTGGTGTTTTAGTGTTTGATTTGTGTTTTTTTTTAGTGTGCTTTTCTTTTATGTTTTGTTATTCTCAATTGTTGGAGCGTTTGATCCTTCTATGTGGTAGTTAGGTTTGTTTGGCTTTAATTTCGTGTTGGTTTGCATCTTGTTTTTTTTTAGTGTGGTTTGTTTTGGGTTTTGTTATTCTCTATTGTTGGAGTGTTTGATTCTTTCATGTGGTAGTTAGGTTTGTTTAGCTTTAATTTCGTGTTGGTTTGCAGCTTCGAATTTAGGCTGTCAGGTGCAGTTCTCCTAAATTCATCTTTGTAGTTATTTTATTTCTGCTATTTTAGACGATTTCAAGTTTGTAATATTTTTTTTTTTTTTTTGCTATAATACCTCTTATCGTTTCGAAAAAAATAAAAAAAAAGTAACAAAAATACAAAATAAAATCTTGAACTTGTGGACTTGTGTTCCTTAATTGATGGAGAAATGACCTATATTTATAGTTGTAAGGGAGAGTTTCTTGGAAAAAATACATCAGTTTGATTGATTCATTACTTTTCAATTTTTATCTCCTTAATAATAATTATTAAAAGAGGTGATTATATTAAATTTAAAAATTTATCTCTTTAAAATAATTAATAAAAGAAATAATGATTTATTTATTCTTTAAGAAAATAATAATATGTGGTATTCTTTATTTGGCATTCAGAACATACATGTGACATTATTTAACTGACAAACAATATATACTAATCAATAATTAACTATTTAATCTATAAATTAAAATTCAATTAATTTTTTAAATAAAATAGAAAATAATAGATTTCTCAAAATTTGAGGGTCGATTCATTTTCTTACTAAAATTTTATATTTAATGCTTTAAAATATCATATCTTTGTCTCTATTATTTACTAAAATGTGATGTACAACACCCGTGTATTACACGGGTGCTTGCTAATTTTTTTTCTGAAAATCTAAAATTAATGAGAAAAAGTAGTTTGAAAATTTAAATACCTTTTACATGAATATATATATTATTATATACTTATTATGACACTTTTTATTTGTACAACTTACTTGTGTTATATTATACTAATTTTTTTTTACTTACAATATAAAACTACATTACATATAAATATATCAATTGAGAAATAATTTTATTTTTCTAATGAATTTTAATAAATATTATTATTTTTTATTATCATAAAGATAAATATAATTTATTTATTTCATATATACAATATGGATGTCAAATCGAAGATCATCAAAAAATGATTAATTTGATATATTATATATGTCAAATCGATAAGAAATACAAAAGTTATCAACTTTTAAAATACATTTATAATTCAATAGCTTATTGAAGGAAACAAATCAAAATTCAGGGATATATTAGTCACTTAGTGCTTCACTATGTAAAATTACAAAGAATTAAAGGGTAATATTAGTAAAAGTGATATTAAAATACCTAAGTTAATTAAATAATATTTATGGAATGCCCGAACCTAGATTATTAATTATTAATATATCAATATTATTTATCCAAACCTAATTACGAAGCATGATTCTTCGCCAAATAGGATTTTGAAGTACCAGAAGCAGCCACGTAGGCTCAGCGCATTCGGGAATTATATATAGGGAGGATAATGTGAATACACGTTGAATTACACTTGGGCCGTAATTATGATTTGGTGTCTATAGGAATGGTAGTACATTAATTAATGCATTTATTTATTTCAAGATGGCTTCTTCGCGCAAATAATTAGGTGTGCCCTGGCACACCTTGCTAGGTGTGCCAGGGCAGAGAGTGGTTGCACGCAAATAAAAAGAGAGTGGCGTTAATTTGATAAAGCAACTGTGAAA